TTTTGAGGTGGGGTATAAATCCAGTCCTCCCCCTCCCCCCCTTCTTCTTCTTCTGATGTGGGGTATAAATCCAGTCCTCCTCCTCTTCCTCTTCCTCCTCCTCCTCCTCCTCCTCCTTCTGAGGTGGAGTATAAATCCAGTCCTCCTCCTTTCCCCCCTCCCCTTCTTCTTCTTGTTCTTCTTCTTTCTTCTTCTTCTTCTGAGGTGGGGTATAAATCCAGTCCTCCTCCTTTTCCCTGCCCCCCTCTTCTTCTTCTTCTTCTTCTGAGGAAGGAGATTGTAAACTGCTCTGAGACTCCTTCAGGTAGTGAAGGCTGGGGTATCCCCTCCTTCTTCTCCCCCTCCCCCTCCTTCCCCTCCCCTTCCTCCCCCTCTTCTTCTCCTCCCCCACACTGAAATCTCCAGGAATCTCCCAACCCAGAGCTGGCAACCCCCAAAAGGTCTTCCTGCCTTTTCATCTGCCTCTCTCTCTTTCTCTTCAGATCGTCCCTTTTGTGAGCTACAGTTAGAAACTCTTCCCTGTTTCTTCTTGCTGAGAGTTCGCCTTGTCGGGCGATTGCCAACTCCGGGTGGGGAGATCTGTGGAGATCTGGGGGAGGGTCCCGGAGACGGCCCTCCCTGGGGTGGAATGCCCCGGAGCCCACCCTCCGAAGCAGCCGTTTTCTCCAGGGGAATGGATCTCCGTCGCCTGGAGATTGGTTGTCTCCGTCGTCTGGAGATTGGTTGTCGTTCCGTGAGATCTCCCTTTCTCATAAAACATTTTTATTTTTCAAATAGAACATACAGCTACATAACATAGGAATGAATATAATTATCATAACTTTCAGATTATTTCACAAAAGAAACAACTATCCTTTATGCTCAGCCCTCCCTCGTGCTTTGAAAAGCACCTCGCTGTGACAACTCCTACGTGGAAAGAATTATGAACTCACCTTTATGTCTCACTACATCTGATACTGCAGAGGTAGGTTTTTCCCCCTCCACTGTGTTCAAGTACCTACATTCACCTCCCACTCCCTGTTCACATGGAAAACTGTCAGCTGTGACCCGCTGGGCATGGATTTCTCATGCCGGTTCCCACATCGAAGCGCTTTCTCTGCAGGCATTGTGGCGATGTACGAAACCCAGAATCCTTACAGCCTTTCCTTTAAATGGTGGGCCGGCCCCGAAACCGCTTCGATGTGCTTTCCTCACAGCTGTGGCTCCCGCAGAAGCAGAAATTAGAAGAAAAGGAAGAAGAGATTGGATTTATACCCTGCCCTTCACTACCCGAAGGAGTCTCAGAGCGGCTTACAAACTTCTTTCCCTTCCCCTCCCCACAACAGACACCCTGTGAGGTAGGCGGGGCTGAGAGAGCTCTTTCGAGGACTGCTCCTGAGAGGACAGCTCTGACAGAACTATGGCTTGCCCAAGGTCATCCAGCAGCTGCAAGTGGAAGAGTGGGGAATCAAACCCAGCTCTCCCAGATCAGAGTCCGCACACTTAACCACTCCACCAAACTGGTTTAGGGAGGAGAAGTCACTCCTTTGCATGGCAGTCCAGATTTGCAAAATCGTTCCCTATTATTACAGTTCCCAACCTCCAGGTGGTAGCTGGATGTCTCCAGATAACAGAGATCAGTTCTTCTTAAGGGTGCTGTGTTCCCCCGGCCACTGGTAGCGGATGGGAGGTTAGGGTTGCCAGATTCAGGTTGGGAAACTCCTGGAGATTTGGGGATGGAGACGGGGGAGGACAGGGATCTCAGTGGGGCACAAGGCCACAGGGTCCCCCCTCCAAAGCAGCCATTTCCTCCAGGGGAACGGATCCCTGTATTCTGAAGATGAGCTGGAATTCCAGGGGATCCCCAGGCCCCACCTGGAGGCTGGCATCCCTGGACCTCAGTGGGGCACAATGCCACAGCGTCCCCCCCCCAAAGCAGCCGTTTCCTCCAAGGGGACTGATCCCTGTATTCTGAAGATGAGCTGGAATTCCAGGTGATCCCCAAGCCCCACCTGGAGGCTGGCATCCCTGAACCTCACTGGGGCACAAGGCCACAGAGTCCCCCCTCCAAAGCAGCCATTTCCTCCAGGAGAGACTGATCCCTGTATTCTGAAGATGAGCTGGAATTCCAGGGGATCCCCAGGCCCCACCTGGAGGCTGGCATCTCCAGTTATCCTGGAGAAGATGCCCGATTTGGAAGGTGGGCTCTGTGGCCTTATGCCCTGAGGAGGTCCCTCCCTTTCCCAAACCCCGCCCTTCTCAGCCTCCACCCCCCAAATCCCCAGGTTTTTCCCGACCTGGACCAGACAATCCTACCCAGTATTAGGAGCTCTCCCTTTCCTATCTGGGGAAGGGAAAGAAAAGCATTCAAATCCCCCCCTTCCCCGGAATTTCTCTGCAAAAGCCCAAGGCCTTCTTCAGCGGGGGCGGGGGGGCGGCGCCCGGGCTCCTTACTGCCAGAGCGCAGCTCTGCCGCACTCCAGCAGGAAATGACCCCTGGATCTTGCACAGTGGAGTAAACTATGGAAAGTGAATGTGAAAGTAACTAAATCGGTAACATTTAAAGAGAATCTGTATAAGATGCTTTACCGATGGTATTTAACACCGGATAGATTAGCTAAAATGTACAGAAATGTGTCCAATAGTTGCTGGAAGTGTAAAAAAACACACACGCTTGAATAGGAGATGAGGATTTCACACAGAAATCACATTTCCCTACGTTTCCCACCGCCTCCTTCCACAATCCTGTTTTTCCTTCTTGGCCCAAATTTGTGCTTGCATCTCTGAAGGGGGGGAAATATTTGCTGGCATCGAAAGGATTTGCCAATCAGTCTGGTTCGGTTCCCTCCACAGACGTCTCATTGGATGCAGTCTAAATGAAGGGCAGAATCACCATCTGTGACTCACCCCCCCCTCTGAAACCTATCATTGCCCATTAAGCTCTTTCTGAGATGGAACGGTGCGAAACGCGAGTGCGGGATCCAAATCTGAGCTTCACGACTCGACTGCTATGGCAATCTGCGTCAAGTCGTGCATGCGTAATAGGCGACATCGACAAAGCTCCGGCCATTGTGCAGCTCGCTCTTATCACGCACGAAGCTTGCGAACGGCCCCAAATAGACCACAAACAGATGGCGATCCTGGTGAAAGACGTCAAGGGGGTTGACGAGACAGGGGTTAGGGGCATGAGAGGGGTTTCCTCTGTCCCTTCCGGGTGCTCTTCGGAGGTTCATTTTGCATGGCGGTTTGGCCCTTCCACCTGCCATCTTCGTTGCAGTTTGACGAATTTTTCACATCGGTTTCAGAACTGGCGTATGCGGCGGTTTTCTGGCTGGATCGTCGCCCCCACTTCCCACTTGCTGAAACGCATGGGTGCATATGTGCATCGATGAAACTGCAGCGGCCAGGGGAGTGCTGATGTGATGGCATGTGCCTTGTTTTGCGACAGGCACATGGCCAGGGCCGGCCTCAGCGTGCGTTCAGGTGGGGTGGCTGCTGGGCCCACGACTTCTACCAGCCCCTTACCTACCTGCTCACCTCCAGAACCCATGCTCCCAGCCGCCCACACTACCCAGTGTACCCAGGGAAAGGGCTGCGGGCAGTGCAGATGGTCGTGAGCAAGACAGAGAACGCATCCGCAGGGCAGGTAGTGATGACCTTGGGCAAGCCATCGTTCTGTCAGAGCTGTTCTCTCAAGGGCAGTTTCTGTCAAGAGCTCTCTCTCGGCCCCGCCTACCTCACAGGGTGTCAGTTGTGGGGAGGGGGCAGGGAAAGGAGTTTGTGAGCTGCTCTGAGACTCCTTTGGGTAATGAAGGGCGGGGTATGAATCCAATCTCCTCTGTAAAACATTTGAAACTTTTAATAAAAATAATTTTAAAAAAAAAAGTAGAATTTTTGCTCACACGACTCCACAGCTTAGAGGGAGCATTGCCGGTGACGGGATTTGGGACCTTCTATGTTCAAAGCAGGGGCTCCTCCACTGAACAACAGTCCCTCCCCAGAGCACCATAGAGTGTTTCTTCCAAAGCGGCCATTTTCTCCAGGGGAACTGATCTCCATCACCTGGAGATCAGTTGTGATCCCGGAAGATCTCCGGCCGCCACCTGGAAGACATTTCTTACAACAGGTGGTTCCTTGGCAAATGGACGTGATATCTATCGCGGATGAGAAGACTCGACGTATGGCACAGTTGTTACAATAGGACGTGGATATGTTCCATCTTTGATAAAATGTTATGTGAAACGAATCCAGAGGCTAGTGGAGTTCGTCAGACGGAAGAGTTTGGTCCTCACAAGCCTTTTGTGTGTTATGTCACTTGGAGAAGGTCTTCGGTGAAGACGTCCATCGCGTGTGGAATCAAGAAATGTACAAGGTTTTTTCATCCTTAAGAATTGAGACACTTACACGTTTTTTGGAGCGTTCCGAAGGAACTTTATTATACAAAGGCCTTTGATATCGACGGAAAGACCCCACTGAAGCCCCTCCCCTCTTCAACCCCACCCACCTCAAGCTTCACCCCCAAAATCTCCAGGTATTTCCCAGCCCAAAGGTGGCAACCTTAGATGTCTGAGTGGTGCATTTCAAGTGGAAAGGAGAGAGGAGGGAGGCTACAGGATCATGTGGTGGCCGGGCAGGCTGAAGTCCAAGAGAACAGAAACTAGTGTTTCTCTCCCCGGCCCCCGTCTTTGGCGGGGGTCGGGCTCAGGACTCGGCTGGAGGGAAGTCCCCTGAAAAGTACGCAAACGGAGAGTGATTTCAGCAAAGCGTACTTTATTCTATCCGGAACAAGACAACTTTGGCCGGCTCGCAGGCCAGCTTATATCCCCTGAGAAACCGGCACCCAATACACACCCCTACTTCCCTATAGGTTATTTACAGTGGCCGAGAGTCCCATAGGCTCTCGGCTGGGAACCTAGCCCCCTGATTGGAGCAGGCTAGGATCCGCATAGTCCATTGTCTCTTGGAGCGAAGCTCGACGTTTGTCTCTGGACTAGTCTGGACTGGATACATTACACCCCCGTTTCCGTTTCTTCTTTCCGTGGCCCTTCCCCACCTCCAAAGCGCTTCCCAACTCCATCACCCGAGTCGTTGCACAAAGCTTTTCCCAACGCCTTGTGTCTGGATTTGTTCTACTGTTTTCTGGGACAGTAGGAATAGATGCCAGTTCCCACCAGTATGAGAGCCAGCGTGGCTATCGAAGCAATGGCCACAGATATTGCTGTATAGTCTGCAAGTGGGGAGGGAGGAAACAGAAGAGGAGAAAAATTGCTGGTAAAAAAATCTCCCAACAAAAAGGCTCTACATTTGACAACAGCACTTGTCATGACTCAGGTGGGGTGTCAACTGACGCTGCCACCACTCTGGATTGAGGTTCCCTTGAGAAGGTCCAGAGTACCCTTCCCAAGACCTTCAGACCTCCCTTTAGGTCTAATAACAGGCGTGAGGACCAGGCAGAGTTGAAACAAGGAAAAGGTTTATTTTATAGGAGGTCAAACAACAAGCGTTCAAGGCAAAGAAGAAGAGGGGGGAACTTCCCCCCCAAATGGCAACCTCAGACATGGCAAAGAAACCCTCTTCTTAGTTTGGTGCCTGTGAATCTATGCAGCAGATTCCAACTTGGAGCTCTTTCAGCTGTGAGGAGGCCGGGCTGCTGCTCTCAGAATAGACATTGTCTCAGCGGGTTACTTTCATACTTGAAGGGCAACGACTTCTCCATCACGCTCCAGTTGATCCTGCCAGAAAGCATCTCCTATGTGGGTCATTATCTGCATAGTAAAGGCATTAAATCATTTCCTCCCCCAAAAGCACACTTGATGGCTGGGCCTCAAGGTGGGGAGAGCTTCATTCCAACCAGCTTTACACACACACACACACACACAGAGACACATGCAGAGAAAATAGTAATAATACTGTTCTGAAAATCATTCCTTGAGGTGGAAAGCCCTGCCGAGATGCCATTTTGAAATAGAAAATCAGTTGGCAAATTGGAATTCAAGACTAGGGTTGCCAAGTCTGGGTTGGAAAATACCTGGAGACTTTGGGGGTGGAGCCAGGAGAGGGCGTGGTTTGAGAAGGGGAGGAGCCTCAGCATGGCACAATGCCATAGAGTCCACTCTTCAAAGCTGCCATTTTCTCCAGGGGAGCTGATCTCTGTCTGCTGGGGATCAGTGGTAAAAGCGGGAGATCCCCAGGTCCCACCTGGAGGCTGGCAACCCTAACCTCTGAGGATGCTCCTGGTGAAACGTCAGGTCCTACAATGCCAAGACCACGGCCACACAACCCAGAAAATCTACAACAGCTAATAAAATATCTTCCGTTGCAGGAGGGTTGACTCTGTTGGTCTGCAGGAGAACCAGCAGGATTTTGGGGGTGGGAGCTTTCGAGAGTCAAAGATGCCTTCGCCAGATAGAATCATAGAGTTGGAAGGGACCTCCAAGGTCATCCAGTCCAACCCCCTGCACAATGCAGGAAATTCACAAATACCTCCCCCCTACACCCACGGTAACCTCTGCTCGATGCCCAGAAGATGATAAAAACCCTCCAGGATCCCTGGCCAAACTGGCCTGGAGAAAAACGGCTTCCTGACCACAAAATGGCAATCAGCATTTCCCTGGGCGTGTAAGAAAGGGCCACGAGAACTAAGCGCTGAGGCAACCCTTCCTGCCCTCCCTCTCGTGATCTGCCTCAGTTCACAGAATCAGCATGGGTGTCAGAGGGCCCTCTAGCCTCTGTTTGAGAACCTCCACAGAAGGAGACCCCGCCACCTCCCGAGGAAGCCTGTTCCACTCTATCAGGAAGTTCATCCTACTGTCAGGAAGTTCTTCCTACTGTTTAGCTGAAATCTCTTCTGATTTAATTCCAACCCGTTGGTTCTGGTCCGAACTTCAGGGGCAACAGAAAACAACTCCGTACCATATCCCGCCCTGAGTCGGGCTTGTCTGGGAGGGCAGGATATAAACCTGATAAATAAAAAAACAAATCCTCTCTATGACAGCCCTTGAAGAAGAGAAGAGATTGGATTTAAACCCCTCCACTACCCAAGGGAGTCTCAGAGTGGCCTACAAACTCCTTTCCCTTCTCCTCTTCACAACAGACACACCCTGTGGGGTAGGTGGGGCTGAGGGAGCTCTTTCCAGAACTGTCCTAGAGAGAATAGCTCTGCCAGAACCAGGGGTCATTTCCTGCAGGAGCACACAGGAGTAGAGCTCCGGCAGTAAAGAGCCCAGGGGGTGGGCACATGCAACAAGCCCCGCCCCCTGCTCCCAGCAGCCCTCAGTCGGGCCACGAGGAGCAAGAGGCAGCCAGGTAAGTTGCAGAGCCCCCCCCCCAGATAGCAATCCAAAACAGTCCAGTGACAGCTTTAAGACCAAGGTTTATTCAGGTACAAGCTCTCCCTCCTCTGTGAGGACAGATCTGCGCGTTCCCCCCCACCCAACAGCTAGCAATCCAAAACAGTCCAGTGGAGCCTGAGCGGTGGGTGTTGCCTTCTGACACACTTCCGGTGATGTCAGGGTGTGTGGCATATGCAAATGAGTTATGCTAATGAGCTATGCTAATGAGCTCCTGCACCTCTTTTTCTACGAAATGACCCCTGATTTAAACTATGTTTAATTGTCATGAGCAATCTGTTGGATCTAGGTCTATACACTCTATTGCAGGGGTGTCAAACATGCAGCCCACGGGCTGGATCAGGCCCCCGGAGGGCTTCTCTCCGGCCCGCAGTGGAACTGGCTGTCTTCTGCTTCTTCTTCCGGTTCTACTGCTGCTGCATCATTGTAGGTTTGCAGCTTACAGATACACGCCTGAACAGCACACTCAGGATTGCAACAGCACAGACATTTTGATGCAGTAATTCAGAGCAAGAGTTGTCAGTTATCAGACACGGTTAAATAAACAAAATATTGCAAGAGTGCTAATGTTTTAAGCACGTTTTTAAGTTTAAAAAACACCTTTTGTGTTTGTGTCCTTTATAAAGTTTATATCTCCGCTACCTGGCCCGGCCCAACAAGGTCTCATTTATGTCCGATCCGGCCCTCGTAACCAGTGAGCTCGACACCCCGGCTCTATTGGGCTGTGACCACTAACTCCTTCTTTGTATTTCAATGAATATAATATATAGTTTTTGAACTTGGTGAATCTTTAAGCAGGACATGCCAGGGATCGAACCGGGGACCTTCTGCATGCCCCGCGGATGCTGTACTACACTACTGCCCCTCCCTTGGACATGCAATGGGATCGTCCGTCTCTCCTCCATTTCACAGGTGGGAAAACCGAGGCCAGAGCAGAGGCCCGAGGGAACCTGAACAGCAGTTGGTGGGAAAGCCGTCCCTTCCAGACCATGCGGCCCTGTGACTATTTCAGCCAATCAACAAGGTTTCCTTTAGCGGATGTTATCGGGCCTCGCTGCCCTTTCTGCTCGCAAGGAATCGGACGCGCACTCACCCATGACGGTCAGCATTTGATTGAAGGAGGAGGCCTTCCCGACGACAGGCCCATCCGGCCGCAAATCCAGCACCGCGTCGCAGCGGATAACCTCCCCGTAGACAGCCCGTCGAGCAGTTACCGTGTGGTTCACCACCACATCGCTGGCTTCGAGCTCGGTGCGATTCTCAAACGTCCGCAGGTGCACCGTCTCCCGCCCTTGGAGGAAGGCCACGGAGAGTTTCCGGATGGGGGCGACGCTGGAGACCCGGCAGGTTAAGGTATAGTTCTCTCCCACCACGATCACTGGTACCGGATCCAGCAACACAAGCTTTGGGGGCCCTGGGAAAAGAAAGGAAGGCATAGCGAGGGATGAGTCCACGCGAAGGTGTGGGAAGCACGCACCAGCACTCAGTGTTCTCCCTGAGCTGGGTTAGTGTGAGCCAGCTCCCAGTCTTTTAGCCTATGGGTCACACGTTTTTGTCTCAGCTCAGGTAGGAGGGCTCCAGTCTTCAGAGCAAACAAATTTATGGCGCAGCCAAATCGCTCGCTCACAACTTGAATGCCCGTAGCTCACAGTCATCTAGACTGTTCAAGAGAAAGCCTTCTGTCCAAATTCATGTCCAACTGGCACCGGATCCAGGTCTATCGGCTGTGGAGATCCTACATAGAGTTGCCAACCTCCTGGTAGCTAAGTAAACAGAGTATGGTACACAGTATATGGATATTACACTACACAAGGATTATTACTGTGATAAGTGCGCTAAACTAAATAATAGTAAAGGTAAAGGTAAAGGTAAAGGTTCCCTTGCTCGAAATCCAGTCGAGTCCGACTCTAGGGTTGCGGTGCTCATCTCTGTTTCCAAGCCGAAGAGCCAGCGCTGTCCGAAGACGTTTCCGTGGTCATGTGGCCGGCATGACTAAACACCAAGGCGCACGGAACGCTGTTCCCTTCCCACCAAAGCGGTCCCTATTTATCTACTTGCAGTTTCTTGCTTTTGAACTGCTAGGTTGGCAGGAGCTGGAACTAGAGACGGGAGCTCACTCCATCATGCGGCACACCCAGGTCTCAAACTGCTGAACTACTGACCTTCCACAGCCTGCAGTTCAGCGTCTATAACCACTTGAGCCACTGCAGCTCCAAAACTAAATAATACAGTACTGCAAAAATCAGAAAAAGTCGTTAATCTCATTTGCTTCGTTAAAAAACACTTCTGTTTACTTGAAGCTGACTGTATTTTTGTATTCCAACCTTAAAACAAAAAGCATATCACTTTAACATTTAAACAGTGTAATGTATTCTATGCTGCCTAGAATGCATTAAGATGATTGTGAATCATCTCATAGGGAAGCAATGTTAAGCTTCGTCTTGAACAGGGATTGAAGTTCAAGACTACTGCGTCCAATCGGATTCAAATGTATATAAGCGGGAAAGACTCTGATTGGTCCTTATTTTCTCAACCTGATAGGTTGTTTATCTGTATAGTAGGCGTGGCTATATTAGCCCGGAATGTTTAAATACTGAACAAGCTGCAATGGAGCTATGTCAGATTGATAGGGAAATAAACCTGAGTTTTGCTGAATCACTCTCTGGCTATTTTGTTGAGCGCAGACTTAACAAAACAGCATATATTTTCTGATTTTTGCAGTACTGTATTATTTAGTTTAGCGCACCTATCACAGTAATAATCCTTGTGTAGTGTAAGAAACCTCCAAGTAGCACCTGGAGATCTCCCAAAATTCCGGCTCATCTCCATACTACGGAGATCAGTTCCCCTGGAGGAAAGAGCTGCTTTGGGGGGGGGGGGACTCTTTGGCCTTGTGCCCCACTGAGGTTCAGGGATGCCAGCCTCCAGGTGGGGCCTGGGGATCCCCCGGAATTCCAGCTCCTCTCCAGACTGCAGAGCTCAGTGTCCCCTTGAGGAAAAGGCTTTCGTGGCCAGGTAGGAGATTCTGTGAGTTGCTGTCTTCAGACAGACCAAGATGGGTGGCAGTGTTCCCTCTAAGCTGAGTCAGTGTGAGCTGGCCCATAGTATCTAAGCCTCTGGCTCACACATGTTTGTCTTAGCTCAGGAAGGGATGGCTCCAGAGCAAACTGATTGATGTGGCAGCCAGACTGCTGGCTCACAGCTTTTATGCCAGGAGCTCACAAAGTAGAAATTTTTGTTCACAAGACTCCACAGCTTAGAGGGAGCATTGGTGGGTGGCCGTGTTAATCTTGTCTGTAGCAGCAGGAAAGAGCAGGAGTCTGGTAGCACCTTAAAGGCAAAAAAATAATAATTGTGGTGCGGTAGGAGCTTTCATGAATAACTGGCTGACTTCTTCAGGTATCACTTCTTCCAATATCTGAAGAAGTGGGCGGTGACTCACGGAAGCTTGTACCCTGCCACAGGTTTTGTTAGTCTTTATGGTCCTACTGGATTCTTACCAGGAGCACACAGGAGCGGAGCTCTAGCAGTAAAGAGCCCAAGGGGCAGGCACATGCAACACCCCCGCCCCCTGCTCCCAGCAGCCCTCAGTCAGAGTAAGAAGCAGCCAGGTAAGTTGCAGAGCTC